AGAGAGAGAGAGAGAGAGAGAGAGAGAGAGAGAGAGAGAAAGAGAAAGATCGATTTCAGGGAAACACATTGATTAGTTGCCTCCTGCACTCGCCCCGACTGGGGCTGGGGATCAAGCCTGCAATCAAGGTACCTGCCCTGGGCTGGAATCAAACCCAGAACCCTTCGGAGACAGACATTCGCTCTCACCACTAAGCCAAAACGGCTAGGGCTCAGATATTTTTCATTTCTTCAAATTTGTTGTTTATTAGGAGTGACTGAAGTAAAAAATATAATTGAGTCCCATCACCATCACAGAACTGGCTTTAAGAGAAAACTGGTCAGAGGAATATTATTGCTTCTCACTTTCAACCAGTAAATAGTTGCCACTGATAAACAGATCACAGTCTGTCAAGAATGTCCAAGATATGCTACATAATACAGCATGCCTATTCACAGCGGCTGAGGGGAGGGAAGACTAGGAAATGATTTATGTGAACTTCTAGATTTCATCATCTAAGACAAGCACAAAAGCACCAGCCATGCCTCTGAAAACACTGGACCATGCACTCTTGATAAAAGCTTCACTGCCTTCATCACAAGCACTCTTCCTCCAGCAGTCAAGTGTGCCTGAGTACAGGATATCAGTTCCTTTGTGCCCTGGCTACAAACAGTGTCAAATGGCTAGAAAGTCAACCCAGCCACTGCTGTGGGATTATCCAGACAATGAAGATGTGTGTTCTTGGGATCTGGAAGCATGTCCTTTGCAGGGTCACAGACACTGAGAAGTAGGCTGCTTGGTAGATAACACCCTGCACAGACACATTAAAGCCTTGGTATAGACTTGTAGATCTTAAATAGGCAGTCACCTAGGCCTTTGAATTCCCTTTCAGCTCCAGCTTTGCCCACCCACATCAGATGCTAGATGGGTACAGGCAAATCAAGAGGATACACAAAACACAAGGGGTGGCCCCATCAGCACCTGATGCCAGATTCCTTGCAAAGTATCACCAAAACTGGGCTCTCTTGTCCACATTACCCAGGAAGAATTGCTTGTATTTATCTTTGAAGGCAAAGTTGAGAGCTTAGGTAGGGAAGTATCTGATGACATTGGCCAGGTTACCACGTCAGAAGGACAGGACTTCCTGCTCCTTGGGGATATGAACCCCACAGTCTATAATGCGCCTGAATTGCTTATCTGCAGTGATTTGCTTGCTGACATGCTGCACCTGCAGCAGCAGCTTGACCTGCTCCATGGGCGCTAATGCTGTCTTGGAGATGGCTGTGGCCACTCCACCTGCCAGGAAGTCCTTGGAGAAGGACACAGAGGCATCTATCATGTTGAAAGGAAAGAAGCAGCAGGCGACTGCATGGCTGGGCTCATAACCAGCTGGGACCCTGAGGCTTTACGACCGTCCTCTTACTTTTAATTCAGTTTCAGTATATTTGAAGTAGGTTTCATTTAGACAACATATGTATCATTAAAAAAAAAAAATTAGGGGTGGGTAGAAGTGGAAGAGGGCAGAGAGGGGGTACATAGTAATGAAAAATAGTAGAAAATTTTTAATTATTTTATTTTTAAAAATATGTTTTTATTGATTTTTAGAGAGAGAGGAAGGGAGAGGAGAGCGAGAACCATTGATGTGAGAGAGAAACATTGATGACATCAATCGGCTGCCATCCACATGCACCTTGACCAGGGATGGAACCTGAAACCTGGGCATGTGCCCTGACGGGGAATCCAACTGGCAACCTTTGGGTGCTCAGGACAATGCTTAACTAACTGAGCCACACAGGCCAGGGCAAAAAATTTTTTATTTACTTATTTATTTTTAGAGAGAAAGAGAGGAAGGGGGAAAGAGAGAGAGAGGGAAACATCGATTTGTTATTCCACTTATTTATGCATTCATTGGTTGCTTCCTGTATGTGCCCTGACCAGGGATCGAACCTGCAACCCTGGCATATTGTAACGATGTTCTAACCAACTGAGCTACCCGGCCAGAGCTAGAATATTTTTTTAAAATTCACTCTGCCAATATTTTATTTTCAGACCATTCACTTTCAAGGAAATTATCGATGTTAGGCCTTTAATTTGCCTTTTAGTAGTTTGTTCCCTGTTTTTTGTTTTTCAGTTCTCTTTTTCCTGACTTCCTATGGGTTACTTGAATGTTGCTTAGACCTCCAGCTTGATTTACCTATAGTGTTGCTCTGAGTATTACATCAGACACACCTAACTTAATGCAATCTACTGATGCCAGCATTTTACAACTTCAAGTGAAGTGTAGAGAACCCGTACCTCCCTTTAAGTCCTTTTACCTACCCCTGTGTATAATTGTATTAAATATTTCCTCTACATACAGTGTAAACCACACCAATATTATAGTTTTTGCTTCAACTATCAATTTAAAAAACTCATATTTTTGCTTTTTCTATTTTCTTTTCTCCCTAATGTTCCAAGATTCTTTCTTTTATCATTTCTTTTGTTTCAAAAACTTGTTTCAGTCATTCTTTTACAATTGGTCTACTGGCAACAAATTTATTTCCTTCCTTTGAAAGTGTCTATTTCTCCATCATTCCTGAAGAATCATTTCACCAGGTATAAAACTCAGGGTTTGAGGTGAGCCCTTCTTGGGGCACACACGCTCAAATCTCCCTTTCAAATGAATTTTCTTTCTCCTAAACTCTAGGAGTCCCCACGAAACGTGCAACCAGGGGAGCAACGGGAAGGTTCAGCTCGTTCAGCTAACCCCCTGAACCTATCCCCAAGGCCCCCTTTTCTCTGACTCTCCAGTGAGGTAACAGCAGCCCCACCTTGTCTCTCTCCTGTTGCTTCTTCTACCCTAAGCCCTTTCTTGTTTCACTGTCCCAAGCTTTAATAAACATACTCCCAAAATCAAAACAAAACGAAAAAAACTCAGGGTTGTCCTGGCTGCGTGGCTCAGCTGGTTGGAGCATCGTCCCATGTACCAAAAGATTGCAGGTTTGATCCCCGGTCAGGGCACATATCTGGGAGGCAACTGACTGATGTTTCTCCCTTCCCTTTCCCTCTAAAATCAATAAAAAACATATCTCCCAGTGAGGATTAAAAAACAAACAAAACAAGCCCTCTGGGTTCGATAGGTTCTTCTCTTTCAGCACCTGACACATGTTATGCCACTCCCTTCTGGCCCAAGGTTTCCAGCAAGAAAGCTACTGTCATTTGAATTGTTTTCCCCATAAATAACCTGTCAGTTCTT